GTTGCTGCCTAGGCGAGGCGCGGGTTTGCTGCAGTCACTCGGGGATAATGAGTCCCTCGACGTCCTCCCTCCATTGGCGAAGCATGTATTCATTCTTGGTAAGAAGGCGTCCTTACCTCTCCTTCAGGACTTTCAGACCGTCAATCTTTTAATGTTGGAGGCAATGGACGATTTGCCAGAATACCTTATTTGCCGTCTGGAAATTCGACTGCTGCATTTCATGGAACTATCAAAAGGAATCAGCTTTCGCCGCTTCCTAGCGCACTTCTTCGTGTTTCATTCCAAGCCACCCCACTAATGCAGCCTTCAACCTCTCTTGTTCACCAGCAAGTTCGTTTCTGATCTACAGGTGGCCGACCAACCTGTTTTAAACTACAGTATTCAGTGGCACCCCTGAAGAGCTTCAACTCGGTTTCCACATCGGAGGTGTTCATTGGGATCTGTTCGAACGGTCGTGCGATACTGTTCGGAGGTTTGATGTCGTATCGGCTGAACATAATTGCCATTTGATCATTTGGTTGCATCTGCCACCAGGTATTCGCATGGTACCCAATTTCTGATAGCTTAGGGTGCCAGCTACAATGTGATGATCGATTGATAGCTCAACGCCGAACGTCCATTGCAGAACGTCGTATGGCAGAAGATATGATTATCGAACCGATAGAATGACGAACTCGGAAATCGGCCTTTCGTACACATCATCTTCTCCCTCCTCAAGGAAGAAGTCATATCTTATGTCCAATATGGGTGCATCGACCTGTAACAGGATCGAAGCTTCCACACATTGTCACTTCAGCCGGATGACTGCCGCTCTCTTGTCGACATGTTTCCACTCAACAATTCTGTCAACCTGGTTAGATTCTACAAGAACACGAGCATCAGTCTCAAAACCCTGGCGCTTCGTTGACAAGAATCCAGCAATGTCCAGTGGGTACTTTAGGCTTCTTCAACTAAGTCTACGTGTTCCCTTTGAGGAGACGATGTTTCAATTACCGATTTGAGCTTTTGGCAACAGCGTCGTTCCCGTGGACCTTAATCTGACCTGCTATTACGATCAGGTAGATTATTGATATAGATTGTGGCTCCATATCTGACGAGTACCTTCGTTGTCTTTTTTCTGCCTTAGGTAGCCATCGCCGTGCTGCTATGCTCCCTGCTGGCAGAGGGTGAGAAGCACGTAGTCGTTGACTTTTTGTAGCCTGCCTCAGTTCCGCAACAGCCTGCATTGCCCTTGATATCCCAATGATATATGACCGAGCTCGTATAACGCTCCAAAACGACAGTACCATGAAGAGCAGATGGCTAAATTTTACGGATACCCGGCCAACATCCTGAATCCTTCTTCTTTCTCATCCAGGTTTGAGACCTACAACGAAGGAGATAATATCTGAACTGCAAATATATGAAATTTCATTTGCATATCCTTTCCTTGATGAATACCTTAGTGCAAGACGTCCAAATGCGTTGATAAATAAAGGATTTTACTTCGTCCTCATGTTCAGTCACCCTAATTGCAAGGAAATCATGATGAACGTATCTCATTGCGGCATCTATTCTCGACGACTTACGGCTAGCAAACAAAACAGATGTGGATAAGTCTTGCTGAGTTTTAACCCTGGAACGCGGAGGATAAAAGATCCCTTGAGTCAAAGTTAAAACGATTAGTGCTGTTAAATAGGCATAAACACGTCGTTAAGGCTTTGGCCTCTGAGTGATATGTGTTATTACAAAATGGCAAAGTAGTTTCGTGGCGTTGCGCCTTCGGTTGTTTCACAAACCTTGCAGATCCAATCCATTTTCATGTATTTATAATCACATTTTCCAAGATTATTTCCTGCCATTTCACCAGCCACATGCTCCCTACATATTAGTGTAGAATCGGATATTAAATCATTTGAAAATATGTCTTCTGTATCCCTTTACCAGAAAGGGATCAGTTGTACCATTTCAAACAAACGGACGAACCTTTATTGGGCAGAAACTCCAAAAAGATAGTTTGCCGATGACCTTCTGGAACTCAGGGTTAAACCAGCAATGAAGAAGTGGCAGAATCATCGCACAAACACAAGGAACTACCCAGACGTAAGTATCGAATATCAGTATGACGACACCTTTTCGGTAAGGTAGCAAAACGGATAGGAACAATGGCATTATGTTCAGCAAAACGAGCGGCAAATTCAGCAGGGCGATTCTTTTCGAAACGGTCGACTCCAGTCTTGAATGATCTATTATGGAATTTCGCACCACTGTCCTCTTCCGAATAAGCGCGACGAGAATTAGGTACAAGCAAATTATTATTATGGAGGCGACGAGTTCCAGAAAAATGTAAAATTTGAACACACGCAAACCGACCGACTGACTGTGGAGGCATGCGGCGTTCAACTGTATATGGCGGTCTTTGCTGAGGGCCGATAGAAACGTGCAAACGTAGCACAGGAACGAACAGCCAAAAATGCTAACCGTCGTACGAACCGCCCTTTTCACAGTGAAGAAATGACGCCAATTCAGGTACACAAATCCGAGCAATCGGTCGACGGCGATCGTTATGCCAATGAGGGATTCGCTGACTATGCCGAACTCGTAAAACAGTATGTGAATTCCCTGCAACAAGCACTGCCAGCGAGTCAAATCGTAGTCACCAGTGTAAGTCAATATGAATCTTCGAATTGCAGATGTTGAATAACCAAGGCTGAGCAGCAGACAGCTGATAGTTAGGCCTAAATGGTCGGAAAATAACTGTACTTAAAATAACAGTACTATTTATAATCAATTAAAAGACTTACCGGCTACACACCTTAACGCATTAACTATTAACTAAACCGGAACGAAACGTTGAAACGAAAAACGTTTAATTGTTTTTACGGCAGATAAAGGAAGCAAAACAACAGAACAATGAATATGGAAAAATCCGTGTTTATTCAAAAGATGCAGCTCATTTTGACAATAAAGAGTCTAGTATAAACGGCATAATAAAGCTAACCCATGAAAGAATACAGGACGCCGCCTCTTCAATGGATTTTCTTCAGAAAAGAAGTTGTCAAAGAAGAAATGAAGACTTTTTCTACCTAATATGTATTTATGTCGTAACCTAAACCGTATGGATTCGTCAAACTACATAAACCTGACAAGCCGCTTCGCACTGCAGTGTGATTCTGCAGAGCTGAGTCTTACGAAGTCGGTAAACTGCGAGACCATTTACAGAAAATCAGCGGTACAAAAGTTGAAGTACAGGGAACGACACTAAGAGCTTTATGGCGAGGCTCAAGGAGTACTGGTACTTGTACTTGTGAGGAGAATATGGATTGACGTCTTTCGACAAAACTGCGTTGTTTAACAACAGCAGTACAGCTTACGCAATAGAGAATGTTTCTCCACGTTTATTGGACAGTACTTAGGACGAGGAAAGAAAGGACTAGGCATTTTTGTCAAGCTTTAAGTGGAAGATCTACATTTGGTTCTGAAAAGCAAAGTTTTTTTCCTTTGCTTGGTATTCGAAAGGGATCATCGATCAGTGCGGCTCTTACGGACCTGCAGAGGAACCATCCTGAAACATGCACGCTGCAGAAATGTCCCCGTTTCTTTACAACCTTTAGTCGATTTAACGTTTGAGGATGAGATTTTCGCGGAATTTAAAATCAGTGTTTTCCTGGAGTCAGTTGCGTCGAACAACGGTCCATTTCTAAGGGGAACGCACTAGAAAGATTGACATTCAGTCTTCGCAAAAGCATAGCACACATATCATCAGACTTTCGTAACAATATCCAATTAGTGCGTGTGGATACAGGTGATTTATCTGTTCATTCATCCTTTCGTTTCTCCTTCGTTAACTCATAGATTTGTCCATCCATTCATGTAGCCGCTTAGAAATTCCTCATGTCCATTCGCCGCTCATTCAAATCATTCACCGTTCGTTTGTTCGATTATGGTTTGTACTTCAAGGCAACATGCTACCAGGACGAAATGAAGATGGCGGTACATGATGCTTTGGCGCCGTCTGCTGGTTGGTGTAAGCGCCCAGACATACCTGCAATCGGCGCATTAAATTTATATAACTGGACAGTGGTCAGCTGCATCCGGCCCATCATGTGGTATATTAATCGATAGCTCTCTTTGAGTGGAGCATCACAGTATTGCGAAACCGGGTGCAATTCAATTATGACGACTGTGCGATGTCAGTTGGTCAGCGCCCAGTCTACAGTCACGGGTTTGAAGTTATGCCATTGACAGATGGTCATCTGTATCAATGATTTAACTTCTCCCATCATATTGCTCATAAACGAGAAGCTCTTTGCGAGTACAACGTGATGCCGCTGTCGAACTATTAATGCCAATGATTTTCATTTTATTTATTGCCCCATAATTGAGCGAGGTGGTTTGATTAGTAGTCAGACTTAAATCGCACGTGGCGATGCGAATCAATTACATCTTTCAGTCCCTTACATTTCTCTAAAGTTGTTTGTGAGCAGATTATGAAACCTTCGTAGTAAGCATTAATTTAAAGTTCGACGATTTTATCGTGACAATTGCGGCAGGGCCATTAAAACTCACGCGTCATGTTAACATGAACAATTACGAGTTCAAATCAGCACTGGTTCCTTCGTGACTGATTTCCTCATATTGCGTTTTAACTAAAAGCTCTCTCTGAGCACAACGTAACTTTTGGCGAAACATTGAATTCGTTTCTAAGATTTGTTTATTGATCACGATATATTGATATCAGCAGGTGATTATAAATCAACGTGCAGTCGTCTAGTTTTGAGTTAAAACTATGTAATTGGCGGACGGACAAACCGAAGTAAGACAGGTTTCATTCATCATCATCGAACAATCATCGTTGAACTTGTAAATTTAAAAATTCGATATTATTTGATGATTTCATAAGGTAACTATGTCAGGAGAATTGAAGTTGAAGAACAGCCATTTAGCTGAAAATAGCAATCTCCGTCTTTGCAGAAAGCCATTTCAATCCAAATTGCGTTTTCTTTCATCACATTCCTTGTCCATCTGTAATTCTCTATGAACACACCGGGAAACTTCCGCTATCTTCTTCATCTTCCATCGCCGCTTCTCCTTCCGGGTCGCGGAGGCAGACGCGTCAGACAGTGCTTCCA